TTTGAATAAGATCTGAGAAAAGAAAAGTAAAAAAAATCTATAAAAAGGAAATGTGAAAATAAATTAAGAAATAAAAAAGGGAAGTTACTCTCAAAATCTGTTTTTTGATTAAATCTTTTTAAAGTTTCAATTCTTGATATTTCAAAATGTAACAAAATTCACTCCATACAATATTAACTAATTACTGTATTTTCACCTGATTTTACTGAACATCAGTAAGACTAACGATGCAATGTTTATTATTTTAAGTAAAAATAAAAATACTGTGAAGTATCATCACTCCTAAAAGTTTTTTTTTTTTTCTGAAGGTTACTCAAGTGAATATAACTGAACTACATAATAACTTAATAAAGATTTCTAATTGGATTCTTGTATTGATAAGATAAAAAATAATAAAAATAAAGTGCATAATAGTGGAGTGAGTTATAGTTGTCCTTATCAACACATTTTTCCCACCTGAGCAGTGGATTTCTGCAGCTCCTGCAGAGCAACTATGGAACTCTTGGTAGTTCGTTTGATTTATGTTTATTTTGCTCATCGTGGTCATGCTTTTGGTAATTCTGCTTTTCTTAAGATGTGGTTTTAAATCCAAATGTGGTTTATTTTATATTATTTTTTTCACATTTTTATTTCTGAGGCTATAGGTTTTCTGAGATAAAACAACTGTGTTGAGTTATTATTTTTCTAAGGTAATAATTTGCCACTTTTTGTTGTGCTTGCTACTAGACAAGATAAGCCATTAGGGGACAGCCTTTACCTTCTTATTCTACCACATGGATCAGCTGTTCATTTAGATGTGCAACTTTACAACTTTTATTTCTTAAAGATGATCTTTTTTTTGGTGGTAAATCAATTACCAATTTCTTCTAAAGATTTAAATTGCAGAAACATGCATTATGTTGCTAATCTGTAAACAGGGATTACATTTGCCTGCTTTTTTTTACAAGTTTATTTAAAAGACAAAAAGTTAATCCAATTAATTTCTATTCGCGCGGCGAGCAGCACCTTGAACCCCGGTAATGGTGTCACAGTCTGTGACTCCAGACACTGAAGATGAAAGCCAGATGCTGCAGTTAGTTAGTGGAGGATGGTGCACTAGTTGGCAGAGGGTGAGAGGTGGGTCTGGGGGTGTTGGGTTTGGGGTTGCAACTTCAGGGGAGGATGAAAGTGAAGAGATGAAAGCAGTCGTATCTCACAGTAATTTGGCCGTGTCACGAGGGGAAAGAACTCCCGGGGAAAGTGACTTGTGGCCAAAGCGGTCGTGCATTATGTTCCGGATGCAGTGGGGTTTTTTTTGTCGTCGTCAATACAACTGCAGGGATGCTGGTAACCATGGCGATGGCCAGTCAACATGTAATCTCAAAGTGGTTTGGAATAAACTGCTCTGGACTTTAGGAGAGAGAGTGGAAAAAAAGAGGACAAGCTGAAAGTGAATTTCTCATGTAAGGATAGGATGATAAAGGATGGCATGTGGAAAATCTGATCCCAGCCCAGCTTGGCTCAGTCACCCTAAAATAAATCACAGTGCTGTTGAATGGAGCTGACATATCTAATGCTTTGAAAAGCTCCAAATGTAAACAAACCTTCAAATGTTTGGTGAGTGGTGAACTTTTAAGTTTGCACAAGAAACTTGGAAATAAAAGCCTTAAGCAAACACTGGGATGTGGAGAAAATGGACATGTAACTAAATCATTTTAAATAGTTCTCTTTTTTTAGTTTAAGAAATAAAGAAAACACGTGACAGGCTGGGTCAACTAGAACATAACAGGACAAGGCTTAGGTAAGCCGTTTGTTGAAAAAGAAGAACTGGGTTTGTAAGATTTCAAAACAGAGGACCAAGAAATCAGGCAAAACATACAGTGGAATAGCTTCAAGCATTTATTTAAACAAGCAGGCTGTGGATCCACGCCACCAGCGGTTATGGTGTGTATAACAGGAATGTCTATAGGAAAGAGACCCAGGTTAATGAGCACGATAATCAGACGGAGGATGATTATAAACACGAGAGTCACTAACCTGGTTTTACAGTTGTGTCTGTGCCCAGAGAACCAGGATGATTCCAGCCGGTCGGCTGATAATACACAGTGGACGCTGCCAGAGAGTTCCAGATGCTAAAGCCTAGAAGGCTGCAAGACTGACAGGAGATCAGATCCAAGTAGATGAAGGGAGGCAGGATAATCCACAGGGCGAAGTCAAGAGGCGGATTCAGGTTTAGTCCAAAGAAGAATCTAACAGGGGTCAGAGGACAGGCCAGGCAAACAGATCAGACAGGGGCAGGCAGACTCAAAGGTCCAAATACAGAAATGGATCAGGATCAGGCAATCAGAACATCATTGAAACGCTAGAACACTCCCAAAACAAAGACTTAAGAATAATCTGGCACTGATGGCTGGGACCAAGTAGTTTAAACAGAAGTAGGAGCAGGTGGATCGGGTGAGCAGTGATGAGAAAACAGGGCACAGATAAAAAGGTGAATGAAGTGTGCAATCAAGCCAGCCATCTGCGGCGAAATCATGCTTCTAAAAGCAACTCTACCTGCCCCCCTTGGCACCCGAAAACCCCAGCCACGCTGGTCCTGCTTCCTGACTCTCCAGTACAGCAATCTATCTTACCCAAGAAATGATGAAAATGTTATAGATAAATGTTGGGATTCTAAGAACTGAAATAAAATAATGAAAATAAACACATAATGTAAAAATAACAATTACAGGCTAAAGAAACATTTTTCCAAACCATATTTCTTTAAAAGATAAAACTGATGAAACCAGTACCTCCAGTGACAATTATTTACACCTTTCTGTTTATTGGGAAATGTAAAAAAAAAAAAAAAAAAAGTTCTTTATTTACCGATCTTGTTAAATGATGACTGTCATGATGGGTCTCTGAGCTAGCCCAAAATGCAGAACAAACACGGAGGCTGGATAAAAGTTTAACAGAGTTTATTGATGAACAAACAAAAGGTTAATGCACAGGCACAGGGACTGGTCAAGGACTGGAGTCTGCAGAGATGATAGTTTGATTAGCAAACGAACTGATGAGTTATGAGTCTTTGATTATTCAGATGAATACCTTGAAGGAGTCCGGTTTTCTCTTTGAGAGAGAGGGCACTGATGGGTCCAGAGACTGTTAGTTCAGCAGAGTCCAAGAGTTGCTTCAGCGTCTTGCTTCTGACTTTGAGGGCAGACCTTGATCTGAGTTTCAAACTCTTTGCCAAGAGCTGCAGGGGAATCCACAGAGGAAT